ATGATATATAAGATATAAATACATGTAAAGGCTCTTTTTTGACAGATGGCATTTTGATAGTGGGTGATGTTCATACTGGGTCAGCAGATGACCCACACAGCAGGAAGTAACAGCTGGATTTTAGGTGTTCTGTTAATGCAGCTAGCTGAAAAACCCTACCACCTCCACAACCACTTCTCTGAATTGTGGACATAACAAAGCCTGATTTTTGAGCAGTAGTTATATTTATGCTTTTGTCATATAAATAAACACAATTCTGAACTAAATATGGTGGTTAACATTACCCAACCCCTGTACCCAACACGTCAATGGTCTACATCACACAGAAATATAAATGCACCCAGTCTAAATGTGAACTTGTTTTTTTATGCCTGTATCATTTGGTTTAATAAAGCATATTGCCTCTTTCAATAAACCTTGCTTGAGCTCAAGACAACAGTGTGATTTGACTTGTTTCACTAAATTTCTATTAATTGTTGTAACACTTTTTGATAAAAATCTCTAATTTCTGTATTTGTTTCCTTACTTACTTGACATGGCTTTCACCATTACAAGTTTCATAGTTTTATCATGCCTTTGTATTTGTGAGAGTAAGAAAATGTGGTTGTTAAACCACAAAAATTGCTAACAGGAATAACAGGCAGCCAGACTACTCATTCTTCTATTTCTGTTGACACATACACCCCCTTACTTACACACACATGTAAAAACACATATCTAACCAAAGATATTTAAAACAGACTGTTCTTTTAAAGTAGTCTTTGCAAAACTAACACCACATAGTAAGGCAGAGAGAAATCTACATTAGCTCTGTGCAACAGATAATGTTTTCAGAACAAACTATGCATATTACTGGAAAACCCTATGCACAACAAATACCAGCACGCCTCTTTGTCATCTAGGTCTTCTCCTTTCTGCTAAATTTCTCTAAAAATCCTGCAAAATAGTGTCAGAACTGATGCATGAGAAATTTGGAATACCCTAGAAATGATCCCATCAGGTTTCTGAGATCGTGCTTCTTTTTTCTGAGATTCCTGTTTCTTCCATTTGTCAACCAGTCTCAAGTTACAAGGACCAACAAGCTAACCCCGATTAAAAAACGCAACTCATTTCCCCATTATTTGTTACTGAACAACAGCAGGTTGCACCTGATCTGCACAAAGAGGAAGAGTATCACCACACGTAGACAGATCATTCTTCACACAAAGGCAGCAAGGGCTGTCTCCTACGCAGTTTTCAGGAAAAGAAGACATCAGAACTGCTGGTAAGGCAGGCTCTACTACTAGATGCAGAACCAAAACCAGGATGTGACCCAGGGCAACTGCGCGTGAGAAGCTGAACAAAAACTTGAACTCTAAGCAATTTAGAAAGTTGGTTGGTGGTTTCCCTTTTTTCTGGGTCATTTTTATTTCCTCCACGCAGTAAGAAGCAATTATTGCTCGCTTAGAAATTGTTTTCCCAGAAGATAATCACACAGTTTAGCAAGTACCTGATTCAAGATAAACTTTTCTCTCAGTATAGCAATAGACTTTCAGCAGCTGTTTCCGAGAACATCAGAATAACCAACCAAACCAAAACACACGTGCTAGTTCACACTACCTAGCTGCTTTCTGTGAAGGATTTTTACTGCAGATAGCTTCTGGTGTCAAGTATCCACATCAGCTGCCAGTTTTAGGTTGACTTGCCCCCATAATCATTTCTCTTTCCTCTCCCACAGGGTAGCCTCAGATAGTCCCTTCAGTGTGCTCTGTTTCACAGCCATTACCACCACTTTGGAAACACTACCAAGTTACATCCAAACAAGGTTGTTATGCAGATGATAATGCCTATGGCTTACATACCTAGCAGTTAAACACAACACAACTTAGTAGAGCAACTGAGAAATGCCCATGTGATAACCAGCAGTCTTAGTCAATTGTAGGAGTAACCACCTGTGGTTAGTGACCACCCCCTGTAATTGAGTATCACAGACTTCAGATGCCAGCTTCCCTCTACATGTCTAAAGATTAAAACACTCAGGGAAAAATGGTCTGATTTATTAAATCAAGTCAACTAGAGTGATGTGGAAGCAATGGAAAGAGCTGTAACAGTGCCCTTTTTGATCTTTCAGATTTTTGTCTGAAATCCAGCGTTGCTTTCTTCACTTGCACCCCCTTGGAGTGATTATCTTAAAAATATGACTCATAAGCCTGAATATCGTCCTTTTTCTGACCTCAAAGAACAAATGCAACAGATTGTGACAACTTGCTCAACATAAATAAAAGAAAACTGGTTATTTCAGATACCTTCATAACAGGAATTCTCAGTATATACCTTATTCTTTATAAAGCATGTATTACACTTATGCTAATAATGAGTTCTGCATAAACTCTTTGATTTTGTGTTTCTCCACTCAGGTTACTATTCTTGTAATAACTGTGATTCACCACATCCTTTCTGCATTTGCATTCCCACAACCAGTTGCTGCAGCACATGAAGGCCGCCCAGCAGCACATTTGGTTCTGATGAGTACACAGCCAGCCTACGTGCCTATCCTTATCACCTCACAACCCATTTTACAGAGTGGCTAAACTAGATACAAAATAATTCAAATATCTCAAAACACAAGCCAGGATTAGAAATTTTCATACCTTCCTTAGCTTTCTCAAATTGTTTTATGTTAAGAAGCTATGGGATATATAGACAGCCAGAGAAATGTCTGTTTGCATGTGTGTTTCTATTCAGTTTTGGAAAGCAGCAAAAAAAGTGAAAATTAAAGAAACACATGAAAATCACAAAAGAAATTTATATGACATCATAAACATCAAGATGGTTTTACATTTGCCTAGTTACAAAGACTGGTTAGAGTAAGCTGGATTTACACCAGTATAGGAAAGGTTGTGTTCTGCCCTAAAGTCAAAATCAGAACTTGAGAAAATGAGTATCTGATAATATTTTTTTTCTATTAAAGGTGAAAAGAAGACCTATCTGTACGCTGTTTCCTAGAATTTGGCAGAAATGGCTCCATGCAAACTATATAGCTGCTTTCATGAACATGTCATAAAGCTTGAAAACACATAAATATATACTTTTATGTGTGCTTCAAACATCAAAACTTAATTAAAGTGATCAGCAATTAGGAATTAATTTTCATTAATACAGCGTTGATTGCGGGCTCTGGGATAAAACAGTCAAATCTGTATTATTTTCTTCAGTCAGCAGGGTCTGAAACAGTCAAACACAAAGGGCGTAGTACAGATCATACAGTATCATATCAACTATCTTCAGTCTCTTAATCTACACTAGCTATATTTCTAGAGTATTTTAGAATCCCATTTTATCTATATTTGTAGTCGTTCCTAGCGGTAGTGTTCCCAAGGAGTGTTTGCAAAGCTATGAAAATGGCTTTTGAAAAACTCTTAACAGTTTAGCTCAAACATGCCATCACTGAATTCAGTTGTTTCAGAAAATTGTTTTAGACAAACTAGGAAAAGGCTAAGGGAGTTGGTTTCCATTAACTAACAAGAGTTTTTAAGCCATTAGAGTGCTGTGATACTGGTAAATGGAATGTTACCCTGACCAGAATGCACTTTTTTTAATACTTCATTTCTGGTGCCAAACCTTTCACAAGGAAGGCCTCCTAAATTCAGTGGGGGTCAGAAGTTTAGTTTATTCAGCAAGAATAACACTGTTAACAGCTACTGCTCTTTCATGTCAACACAGTTAACACCCACACATTCCAACTCTGGTTAAAAAAGGCCAGTCAAGGAAGATTGGAGTTGCTAAGGGCAGTCATCTCTGCAGGGATATTTTAAAACAGAATTTATACTGTGCTTTAAAAACAATCTAAAATGATCAATCTACCTTATGAATCTGCTGTAGACATACACAGAGAGAAAGATGGATGGATGAAAGCATATAAAAGCAAGTAAATCTGACTCTCTCTATTGATTTTTGAGAGGACAGTGTAGAGCACTTTGGTGAGGTCTTATATATCACTGCAAAGGACAAAATGCCATTGTGCATACGGTCTGAAGCATGTCAGGATTTATCATGAACCGTTGCACTGCTGTATTCTGTAATTATATCATTTTGTAAATAATCTTGTTTACACTGCTGAGGAAGGTAGATCACTAAAAATTAAATAATCCTCAAAAGAAATGTAAGAACTATCAGGAAGATTTTCACACAGCTATAAATGAAAGAATCTGCTATTATTAAATGAAAAAATTGCAGAAATTTAATGTACACATGAAGTATTTTTAGCAGGAGAAAGCTGGTATTTTAATAATGAGCTTTTGAAATCCAAAATGGAAAAATCTGCATATCAGAGCATAATCCTCTTCCTACTTACTTTGCTCTAAATTATAGCAAATCAACGTTTAGTGTTCCCCAAAGCTCTCCAGCACTCCTACTCGGACAAATGTCTTCAAAAGATATTAGAGAAATCGATCTGGTTTTGATAGCACTTCTTCACCACATGGAACACTTTTCTTCAAGGCTGAAAGCTTTCATCTTAAAGCACATTTTAGATAACCAAAATGCAAAAATAAGCACATCAAATTGAATTTTTGTTGGGTCTCTGGGGCCTCTATTGTTATGCAGTGGTGGCATTTCTTATCAGCTGAAATATTCAGCTAAATTTTCATCCAAACTATTCATATATCCACTCCCATCACACAAACACCACCTCATAATGTACATTTAAACATCACATTTATGCTATTCTATTAGCAGTTTCTTCATATGAGTTTCTTAATATAGCAAGAGGAAACAATTCTATTATTAGCTGCGGTTACATGGTAGGTCATTTGGAAAACCCAGTTGCTTTAAATAATAGAAAGACCTGCCATTTGTTTTTAAAATAGAAGCTCACTAGCTGAACTGTAAAGCTGTGACTGTCACAGCATATAGCAGTGTCCCAGCAGATTAGCAAGCCTTTAGCTAGCACCCAGGCAGACACAGCACATACCCCTTGTCGACAGATCTCAGAGACAAACCTAATGAAAAAAACAATTTACCTTCTTCAGTTTCATGCCACACAATTCCTTCCAAGTTCACGCTGGTCCCAGGCTCACAGGGTCCAAGGCATTCGGGTTCTGTTACTACTCCAACCTCGCAAGTATTTACCCCCACTGAACGTGTCCGTACCAAAAGCTGCTCGACTGGTGCTGCAATATTGGATGAAGATGGGGAAAAGTAGGAAGGCAGAATCTGAGGTGTGATACTGCTGGAAATCGGAGGTGGAGGTGCAGGCACTGTAAACAGGGGATCAACCTGAAAACAACAGACAAACTTACTATAATGGTGCTGTGAGAGTTAAAAAAAAAATTTAAAAAAATAAAATAAAATAAAATAAAATAAAATAAAATAAAATAAAATAAAATAAAATAAAATAAAATAAAATAAAATAAAATAAAATAAAATAATACTTTTTTTTTTTTTTTTTTTTTTTTTTTTTTTTAAGTAAGAGAAAACCCAGTTTGCCAAGACCACATTTCTTTATGTGGGGATTTGGTGCATCACGGGTAATTTCTGTTGTATGAATTCAAATTTTTTGACATTAGACATTGACAATGCTACACATGAAGAATTAATTACAAAAAAATCTGTCATACATGGTAAAAAAAGCAACTTGCTAATAAGTTTCTACTAGAACTATTCCCTGTTGTCATAGACTGTTAGTATGAAATAATAGTAAGTTTTTAAAACAAGGATTAAGTTTACGTTTTTAGTAGCACTGATAGAGACTGATTTGTGGATGAAAATTAGTTTTCTGAACTGGGAACTTCATTTACTATGTAAAGAAAAACATTTATAAAGACAGGTACAAAGACACAAATGCTATTCTTTAATGTGTACCATAGAGAAATTAGTAGTTGGAACAATTCTAATATCCATATGGCAGCAAATTCCATCTCTTGTTATCCAATCGTGTAAAATACATTAGGATGACCCACTCAATACCTTACAGGTAGCATTTAGATCTTTCTGCTAGTAATAAAAGAGAGGACTTTTATAAGAATCGAGCCAAACCATCTAATTTCTCAGGGTTTCCAAAACACATAATCAGAACACATCTCACCAGACAATCAGTCTGAACAGAAGACAATTCACAGAGACAATATCAACACATGAGCTGAAGAAGTTATCTCTTCCATGTGACTTCCAATCTACTCAGTAGCAGATTTTCTGTATAAAGATTTGGCTGAAGGTTTTCAATATTTCACTCTGGCTCCAAGGTCCCTTGTCCCATAAAAGACAGCTAGATAAATAAACATATGAGCATCAACTAGCTAAACCACCTGGAACTCGTGTTCATTTGGCCCATTGGATCACAGATATCACACAAAGAAAACACTCTTCAACCCAATGATTTATTTTTTTTCTAAATAGCTGCTTTTTAGCGGCACTGGAATCGATGATCAAATGTCTTCCAGACTACGATGTTTTTAATTTTGGACCTCATAAGAAGACTCACCAGAAAAGCCATAATGACTCACTGCACATCATCTAGGTTTTGCTCAAATGCACCTTAAGGTAGATCAAAGTTAATTTTGCCTTCTTGTAAAGCAAAATGGGGATACAAAGAAAAGGACAGACTAAAAGCTATTATACATGTATCATAGATCAGTCCACTTCATCAAATGGACACTTTTCACAATGAGAAAATAAAATGACAAATTAGGAAGAACTTTTTTTAAATTGTAACAATTGTTGTCATTGGCCTTTATAACAATTCTGTTGTTTTTAGCATTATTCATAGATGCAAACTGGGAGCCAAGGCTTTTAAATGTGTATGCAAGCCTTATGTGTGCTAAATAATTCTCAGTATCTTTGTAAAAATGTTTTGCATGCTCTTTGTATGACCAGCTTGGATTCTGATCTCAATTACACGAGAACTAAGCTGGAGAGGGGAAGGACCTATAACCACAGTCTTCTCCAACACACTCCTCATTTAGAGGGGATTTTTTTTTATTGAAAATGAAATCTTCAGGTTAGAGGTAAGAAAGAAAACAACTAAACAAACAAACCAAATAAACCAAACAAAAAAAACAAACAAAACAACAAAAACAACCAAACAAAAAACCACAAACAAACAAACACAAAAAACCCCACAACACCAAAACCAAATCAAAACATAAATACTGAAAGCATCTCTAAGGAGTAAAAGCCTAGTAATACCATAAAAATTCTACTGGTTAAAGCAGAGTTCCTGTAGCATAGAACAAAGCACTCAAGCAATTATGTCTTTATTCTTCTCCTTATGCCAACAGAGTTGCAGAGTTAAAGCACAGGCAGAAAGCTTTGCAGGGCAGACTTGAATTCACACAGGCAAGTCAGATACCAAATGACCCCCAGCAGCAGCTGTTCCTTGCAGTATCTAATAGCACTCATCACACAGAACCCTAACTGTGTGTGCAGTGCGTGGGGAGACACCGATTCTGCGCTCCACAGCTCCTGCTGCCAAGTGGAGGCACACGGTTGGATGGCACAGAGCCCTGCTCCCAGGCACTGGCTGTGTAATGGTGCTCTGTCACTGAAACGGGGTCAGCATGTACCCCAGGCATAATTTAGGAGCTCTTAGCATACCTTACTTCAAACCAGAACAGAACTGGGGTCAGTAACTGGCAGGTAAATGGAACCTAGCACTTAGAAAAAGCTAAGCCACATCCCACCATAAACCAAAAAAATGCTGATGAATAGCCTGTTTGATAGTTTACATGGTGCTCTGTAAAGCTGTTCAACACCTCCTACTACACATGCAACATCATTCTTCCATAAAATAGACTCATCACAAAACCAGAGGAAGAAAAATCCAAAGTGTTTTCTGTGGGCATACTAAAATAGCCAACATTTTAAATGAATGTAGGCTAAATTGACAGATGTGTTTTCCGTTTTTGAGTATTATAAACAGTGAGGGGGAGCTAACGAAAGCATAGATCAGACAGTGTATCCTATTCAGTTCTTTGTTACAAATATTTGTGCTCAGTTCTGGTTTATTTAGACCTGCTTGCTAATAAATGGGGCTGTTTTTCTGTGAATTAAAACACTAAACCTTTGGCTGAGAAATAAGTGACTTACTGTCACTGAGGTACATGTTCATTGCACAAGTATGACCTTAGCCACAAGAAAAAAATACACTAAGCCTAAACATTGCTCCAGATTTCCATGTTTTAAAATTATCCCATCTTGTTCGATAGTCATAACAGCAAAGTGGTGGTTCTTAGAGATCATTGTGGTGACACAATTGTTTTCATGAATTCTCCAAAGGGCACTGATGTAAGCTCTCAGAGGCAAAGAGAGGCAGGAAGGCGGCCATCTCCAGTGGAAGAAAAGGCACATAAGCCTAACATCTGGTGGTGGCAGTCTGTCAAACTGAGGAAAGTTAATGTCAAGAACAGATGCTCTGCAGTTTCTCACTGTTATTTTTTCATTATTATTCCCAGGTGTTGGCGCATACTGAGCAGTAGCCTTGCTGTTTATCACACAAGAGATTCCAATATGCGACTGAAAATCTGAATCTGAAGAAGGTTATTTACATAGATGCTCCCTTTAGACACACAATCAAAGGAGTACAAAAAGACAGAAATATTCAAGCAATATTTTCTTCACCTAATTCCAAGAGCTTTTGAGAGCTGGTTGGTGACAAAGGCTACAAAGCTGCAGTGTTATTCATGGCAGTCTTCCACAGCCAAGTGTTTGATCGTATCAGGGAGCTATGATGCCTAGTAACAGAAAGCTCACAGAAAAAGAAGACTGCCTGCCAAGCAATGGTCCACTGCCCCATGGAGCAATCTTTTAACTGAACATTTACCAAAAAAAAAAAAAAAAAGAAAAAAAAAAGTCTGTTTTGGTGGCTGCATAACATTCATCAGTAGGAGGAAGCACACATGGAAGAGAAAGCAAATATCGTATCAACAAGAAATAGGCAAGACTTTCTAATAAGCAAGGTTGCCATTCAGTTACTCAGGCACTTTACATGTTGGAATCAAGTTTTGTGCATCAAAACTCACCTTCCTGGTTTAATTAAGCTGTGTCTCTGAAGATATATCTCAACAATAACATAACCTACCTATCTAAGACCTAAGTGGGTCATACATTACTGCAGTGTCATCCACCAGGTGATTTTGAAATGCATATGCCAAAAGCCATTTAATCCATCTACCAACACAGCCAGAAGAAAGGCAAAGGAGCAGGTTTCAGGCTAAGTACAAGCTCTTCCCAGAAAGCACTGCTTTTTAAACGGAGAAAAAAAGAAAAGTCTACTGTAAGCATTCCCAGTGGGAATGTCTGCCCTAATAGAAAGAATATAAAAAGAAGATCTGAATCCTATTACAGGATCTAACTAAAAAACCAAGCCTGGTCCTTTGCAAACCTAAATCCTCCCTCTAAAAGACAGCAACATAAAGACAGAAAGGACTTAGAAACTTGCAACCTTGAAAATTACATTGACAAGTTCTTTAGAGTTATGAATTAATACTTCACAGAACCACTATGTCTGGAAAAGAAAACAGGAAAATAAAGGAATTCAGCCCTATCTGGAAGTTTTGAATCCTACAAATTGCTATCTTTAGATTTTACAGTGAAAAGGAGACTAGCTGGTTTTTACATAAAGTAGACTTGCCTCTATCCTAATTTTCCAAAACAACAGTGACCCCAGAAGACCTCATTGTAATCTCATAAATCAGAAGTCATTTTAATGAAATTCATCTAACTGCTTTGGAAGAGAACAAATGGGAGAATGTGACATGAGAAAAATGTCTGTGTGCTCAGAAGCATGTCTGCACTTCCAGACATCTCACCAATCTTTAACTCTCCTCTTGCTATAAACCTTGCCCCACAGAGAATTTACATATCCAAAACCTAAAACTATTCCTTTATATTCTTTATATAAATATATTTTTATATATATTTTTATATTATTTATATACCATGTAACAGGAATTACCACTATGAAGAATCTCCATTTTGTCTGAAAGATCTCCTTTTAATCTCAGCTCAGTATTTCTTGCCTATAAATCATATCAGAGGCCAACTCAGAAGTGTTTTGACATCATGCTTAATAGAGTTGATATTTTGTTGTCTTCAAATATTCTGCTTCAAATATTCTGATATTATTCAAATATCAAATTGTTGGGGGAAAAAAAGGCCAGTGCTATAAAGGACAGCATAGAAAAAAATAAAAGAATAAATACTGTAAGACATGGGTGTAGAAAGGAATTTCTGCCATAGGACAGACATATCTATTACACATTCTACATTCAAAGCTCAGG